TTTGTATATTTATTTTGTAACCTACCACTGTATTATACTGATTTATTGTTTTTTTTTTTTTTTTTAGATTTATTTATTTAGACATACAGAACTGGGGTACAGGCAAGAGGTGCAGGGGCGGGGAGAGGATTCACCAGAGACAGAGTTGGGAGCAGATCAACGAAGTACACTGCTGAGGGGAGCAGAGGGCAAGTTGGGAGAGGTCTGCTGGACCATGTGTATCACCTCCAGGGCTGGGGATCAAACTCGCACTGAGGTGGCTGCGGTTAGTTTGCAATGCTGTGTCCTAACCCATTGCATCACCAATGAGGGCCTTAATATAGTGTTTATAATGATACCATGTGATAGGCACAGTTGTGTGTTGATAAAACATCCTTGAAATGTAATTTGGCAATATAGTTCTGCCTTTGCATCTAATAATTTCACTTTCAGGCCTACCTTAAGGAAAAATCAGAATTGCAGATAGAACTTTATGAAGTTGTTCAATTCAATATTATTCACAGCATGAACCTTTGATGCAATATAAATTTCCAAAAATAGAGGACTATTTAATAAACTTTGGAACAGTTATTTATATATTCTATGTATGTACCATTGTAAAAAGATTTGAAGAAAATGCATCAATATTAATCATTATTAGTGATTACAGGTTGGTTTTATTGTGTTCTACAATGTATATTACTTATAAGAAAAAAATATAGAAGATGTTATTTAAGGACTTTAAATTTGTCTTTGGAAATTGTGAGCCCTTTTGAATTTTTCCTTGTATATAAATTTTTGGTTAATATTTCGCCTAGCCCTATACAAGCCAAGGCCAAGTATTTCTGTGGATTCCTGGGAAAATACCAGTATACTTCTAAGTACCTTGAGTTCTTCCTCAGTGCTGACCTTAACTTAGTATAGTAGAATTAATATTCACTTATTGGAAATATAGGGAAAAAAATTTAATAGAAGAAGTTTCACATGGTTAGTAGCTTGGACCATAGGTAGTGGTTAGTGTGTTTTCCTTTCAGTAGTTAAAATTTATAAAATTTGGCAAATTTTCTTTTCTTTACCTTTATTTTTCTATTTTTTTTTTTTTTGTTGCAACCTTTTGTCTTTGCTGCTTGTCCCCCAAAATTCATGTTGCTGGATATTAGTGTTCTTCCATGCTCTTATAATAATCCACAAAATACTTCTCTTCTCTCCCCTCTCATTCCTTCCATCCTCCCCCCGCCACACACACACACACCCCTAAGATTTTATGATGGTTTTAGAAGTGATTTTAATGTATACAATGTTGGCTTCCTTTTTAGCCATTCAGAAGTTACTTCAGTCATGGAATGATTTCCAGCCATATAACTGAAAACAGGTAAGGTTCTTGGGGAAGAAAAGTGAATGGTAATAGAGAAAATGGAGTTGACAGGGGAGTGGATATAGGGAAGCATCTAAGTCCAGAAGCCAGAATTAGGAAAATACGGGCTGACTGTAGTCATCTCAAGAGTAAGAAATCCATATTCTATAAAATAGTCTGATTCACTGCTTTTTTATTTCTGAAATATTTTTTTTAAAGATTTACTCATTTATGCATACAAAAACTGAGTACAAGTGAAAGGTGTGGGGTTGAAAGGATTCACCAGAGACAGAGTGGGGGACAGAAAAGGCAGATTGACTAAATACACTGCTTAGGGGAGCAGCAGGCAAGACAAGAGAGGTCTGATGCGCCATGTGGGTCAGCTCCCTGGCTGAGGATTGAACTGTGTGCTTCAGTGGCTGCAGATAGCCCTTTGCATCACCAGGGAGGCCCCTACTTCTAAAATAGTTTTAAAACTCATAGTAAATTAGCTTTTAAGCATAGCAGCCCCCAAAAATAGGCTGATGAAATCTAAAGAAAAATTTGTTACTCTCCCTAGCCCAGTGAAAGGAAAGGAAACAGTGTCCAGGGGTTGGACAGGGTGTAACAGCTTGTGGGGGTATAAAGGGGTTGGGCATAAAGGTCTAGCCCCTGAAAAGTAAAGGGAGTACTGAGGACCCCTGCATTATTTTCTTCAAGCGTTTCCTTCAGTAGCCCTCTTGTCGTTGTAATTTGGAAGTCCTTCTGAGAGTTAGTTCCTCTGATAGATTAGATGAAAGTAGTCTTTCCTCATTAGTTCCCATACCATCCAGAAGGGAGACAAGCCAGTTGGGGACTCTAGAATCATATTTTTTCTGTCCAAAGTGTCACTTAACCTTGAATTAAAATCAGAAACATGAAAATCAGTAATAGGGAGAGAAACATTGCAGGTGTCCAGAAAATAGTGATAGTGGTGTGCACTAGGCTTTGTCCTTATGAATGGAGGGAAATGGACAAATAAGAATGAAATTTGGAAGACTAGATTTAGAGGATGAGGGAGCAGGAGAAGTTAGGAAGGCCTCTGATTCAGTCCCTGAATGAGTAATTATGTCATTTATTTACTGTACCACTGGGAGGGGAACAATTTTAGGGGGCAAGATCATTAGATCGGAGAAGAAAGGACAGAGCAGACAACTTAAGGTAAATCCTAGGAATATTAAAGCTGACCATAGAGCTGTATCTTTCAGGGGAGCGGGGGAGGCCAGGGGAAGTGTGTGCGTTGGAGGGGGTGGGGAAGCACAGTGGCCTATGATGGAGGGAGGATTTTGAGTGCTTTGATGGTCAGAGTGCTATGGTGACTTTACATGAAAGGAGATGTAAAATACAGCAAAACAAAACAGCCTGGAATATTCAGAGGCCAGGTAAAGGAGAAGATGACTAACAAAGGAGACTGATGAACAACCCTTCTTACAAGGGGGAGGGTATCCTTTTGAGCAATCATGGAAGGGCAACTGAAGACTGTCCATTGGATTTGCTATATGCTACATGACGGAGGAGGTCAGTTGAAGTAGACTGAGAAGTGAGCAGGAAGTGAAAAAGCAGGATTAAAGAGATAAATTCAGCCAAGAAAGAAAAGAGGGAAGAAGGGAAAGGAGTAGATGTAGGTTGAGAATATTTTTGCACTTTTCCTCCTGACAGCCGCCCGTTAATGCCTAACAGCTCTGTTGTCTGTGTGTAGTAAGGGTGTCACAACTGCTGGCATTCCTTAAAATATATATTTATTAAAATGCTATTTTATAAAACTGGGCTTTAGCTTCATCTGTGCATCAGGGATAGCAAGTTTACAGACACTTCTTTTCAAGAAGTAGGACAAGCTGAAAACATAAGCCTGGTTTAGCCTTAGTTTTGTCCCTAAATGATTTCTGTGGGTCAGTAGAAGAAGTCAAAAGCATCAGGTCTCCCTTCCCACCCAGCAAGGAGAATTAGATTGTGCTGGCTGCTCTGCTCAGACTGCAAGAAGCTGCTTTAAAAAAAAAAAAAAAAAAACTGAGCACTTGCTCACTGGGAAGTTTTCTCTGACCAGAAATCTCTTTCCTAATCACATGTCTTTGATTTGCTGCTCTAGCCCTAGTAGGCAGCCATTCGTTCTCTTTGGTAACCATTCCACACGGGAAAACCTGAATGCTGGCAACTTTAACTTCCCCTCTGAAGGGCACCTGGTACGCAACACTGGTCCTAGTGGGAGCTTTGCCAAGCACATGGTGAGTGGCTTGACTGCCAAGTGCTTAGTTTGTTTTATGTTTAAATAGGAGGGAAACTGGGAGAAAGAACTTTTACAATTAGTATGTTGATTTAACCTTGAACATGAAGTTATTTGGGGGTGAAAAGATATAATTGGAAAATGCATGTATTACAGGCTTGGAACCATACAGCAAATACTGTGATAAAACAAGTCACATGCATTTTCCAGTTTCTCAGTGCATAAAAAAGTTATATGTACTATATACTCTAACCTGTTAGAGGGTGCAATAGCACCCTTTAAAAATACATAAATCTTAATTAAAAAACACTTTGTCTTAAAAAATGCTAGCTCATTTAAACCTTCAGTGAGTTATAATCTTTTTGCTGGTAGAAAATCATGGTAAAAAAGATCAGTTACCTGTGAGGCTTTCTGAAGTGAGTCACAATAAAATGAGCTATGTCTGTACAAGTACCAGATGTGATTTGAACACTTCATGTCTACTTTCTTAAATATTTGAAGGAAAGGTAAAAAAAAAAAAAAAACTTTCATAAACTCTGAAATTGTCAGAGTAGGATCATCCATAGATGAAGAATCTTAAATTAACTCAATAACCAGTCATTCAAAGCAATTTGTTTTGAGTATTATGTTTTTGAGTATTATGTTTCAGGGTATAATCCCTGTTCTTTTATCAAGAATACCAGGGAGAACATTTTTGCACTTAACATATTGTCTGCTACATTCTTTTTTTTTTTTTACAAAAGTTTATATTTACATCATTTTGTACATTTTTTTTCCCCATCTCAATTGTGTCTGCTACATTCTTTTAAAGGGAATGTTAAATAGGAATGTGAGAGTCTTAATGATTGTAAAAATAATTTTTAAGTACTTGCAAAATGTCCCTGAAAGTCAGGAAAGTTGGAGAGTTAGGTGCTATTATTTTTCAGTTCAGATTTAAAGAACCTGAGACTCAGATCTGTCTGGACTGAGACGCCAAATCTGGGTCCAGGTGACTCTTAAGATGTAGGACTATTTAAGTAGATGTGCTATTAGGATCTTCCTGCCAGAAAACGGAGGCTCAGGCATTTTAAAGATACACCTGCATCATTTTAAAGATACTCTTCCCACCCTTCCCCCAAGTCACCCTCCTCTAGGAATTCACAAAGAATTCCTAATGGTATAGGCTTCTTGGTATCATTTTACTTGTTGATTAAATAAAGAGAGTGAGTCAAAGCTGAAGGAGAACCGCTAATTGCTGCTTCTGAGATACTAAGTACAACTAAAAACCCTGGACATTAGATATTTAACAAACTTAAGCCTGGAAAGAGAAGGCAGGCTAGCCTAAGGCCTGCCTTAGGAGCCAAAGAACAAGATGACACTTGGTCTTCTCAAGTGTCTTTTTTGCCTGTTTATTCCAGAGTAGATACTAAAGAAGCTTACAGCCTGGCAAAGTCAGTAAGCTCAGATGTAAAGAGCCCCAAGGAAAACCTGCTATCTCTAGGCACTTAACAGACTAAGATTTAATAATAAAATCATAGAATTCTTCTACTCCATTACCTTAATACTACACCAACAGGTCTTCAATATAATAATAAGGGATTACTGCTGAAAGAGCTTAGGACAGACTATCTAAAGAGAAATTCTTATGAAAATGTAAATACAACAAGAAGACAAATGCAATGTCACTAGAGAAATTTGAAGCCCCCTGGCATCTACATGTTGAGAAACATTAAACACCCAATTCCCAGACAGGTTAACATAAAACCTGATATATCATGTCTGACTGTCAATAAAAAAGGCATGCTAAAGGGCAAGAAAAAACAGTTTGAAAAGACACTACAACCATCAGATTCTCAGATATGACTCATATTTCAGATGTTCCAGACAGGGAACTTAAAATAATTGTGATTAAAGACTTTAAAATAAATATGTTAAAGACTCTAATGGATAGACAACATGTAAGAACAGATAGATAATGTAAGCATAGAGATGGAAAGAAATCAAAAGCAAAGAAGGGGGGGAATATCCAAGAACTCAGATTCAAAGAGCGTAACATGTCTGTAATGTGACTGTTAGGAGAAGAAAGAAAATAAGGAACACAAGAAATATCTAAAGTAATAATGGGCAAGAATTTTTTAGAAATCAATGGCAAACCACAGATCCAGAAAACTCAGAGACTACAAAACAAAATAACTTCTGAAATAGCTACACTTGGGCTTATTGTATTCAAGAAGATCACATTAAGAAGATCAAAGACAGAAAAATCTTGAAAGAAGCCAGAGGGAAAACATACCTATAAAAGAGCAAAAATAAAAATTACAGTAGGCTTCTCATTAAAAGTCCTGCGTACAAGAGAATGGAGTGATATATTTAAAACACTGAAAGAGCTAGCAAAGTTACCATCCAAAAGGAATGGGTGGGGAAAAGCAGAGAAGAAATAAACGTTAAAAAAGCTCTTCAGGCATTAAAAAATTTTTTATTTTAATATAATAGTTTATTTTTACATCATTTTGTGCCTTTT